AAATCTTATCCCCATCTCTTTTCACCGGACCCATCTAGATGAGGTGGAAACTATTCAGTGGGGACTCTTTCTCCCCACCCCACATTCCTAAACTAAACTCCCTCTTGAAACCTTGTAAGCCAGTCACTTTGTGCCTTTATCGCTCCCTCATTTTAGGTAGCCAGTGTCTAAGTTGCCCGTCCCTATCTACCCTGCATATAGAGGGGATAGCATTAGTACTTGATGTGAATACTCCTTCCCTCTCTGTTGGTGTTTAGAGTTACTACTTCTGTGAGTATAGGTCAGGTTCATCAAATTGTAGCAATTTACCCTTGTTTCCTTTATAAAAAATTAAAAAAATTTTTTTTTTTTTTAAGTCTTTCTCTAGTCAAGTTCTGATGATCATGGCATCAAGGCTAGGTCAAATGGATACTGTCTGCAAGTTTGGGTGTTCTTGTGCACCTTCCCTCACTTCATATCAGCTGGATGCTTCACTCTCAGCTCTAGCCCTCCGTAGCTATGTCCTTGTCCATGGGTTCAGGTGTCCCCAGGTCTCACCACACTTTGGACCAACCAGCCCTTCCTCTTCTCTCTCTCATATTCAGGTCAATGGGAGTCAATGGACTGTGGTTGAACTCAGACCATTTCTTCATTGCAGCCTTTCCCTCTGTTTCACTTACCAGTAGACCAATGTGATTGCCAGCAAGCTTACATGCTTGCTCATGTGTTCTACAGGGATGTTTTTATAAAAAGTAAAAAATTTCTGTTGAAACACTGCACAAAAAGTTGATAGATTGTCATCCTGGTTTCAGCCCCTCTGACAGTGTCACCTGGTATGGATAACAACTCCTATGCCCCTCTAGTGATGCCACTGCCCAAAAATATGTATTATAAATCTTACTCACTATACCTTTGTGGTCATAGTGCCACTTGGGAATGGGTTGTCTCTGTCGTGTTAATGAGGCATTGTTAGTATAGAATGTGTCTTAATTCAATCTCTTGAGATAGAAAATATTTTCCACGTGAGAAAGCAGAGATGGGGAAATACAGCTGCCATGCCACATGAAGATAACCAAGGGGCCAAGGAAAAGAAACTGAAAAGAGACCTTTTTTTTTTAAACCTCCTAAACTGTGAGAAGTTGTAATAACCTCCTAAACTGTGAGAAGATAAATGTGTTTTCTGAAACCAATTAACTTGTGATATTTCTGTTTTAGCAGCACTAGATAACTAAGGCAATATTAGTGTGATTTTTTTTTTTTTGGAAATGCAAATAGCAATTGTATAGATTTATTAATAAAACAGTACAGAAATCAATATATTCAAGAGCACAAAATAGAAAGAGTTCATTAAAATTATTTATTTATGCTATTATAAGTATGCCTATAATTCTTTTGTTAGTTTTCGAAGCCTTCCTCAGTCTCCAGTGTTTTCAGAATATTAACATAAAGATTGGGAGAGCGGCTTACGGACTGCAAACCGCAACATTGGTAGTTTGAGCCCATCAACCACTCTTTGGGAGAAAAGATAAGGCCTTCTTTTCCTGCAAAGATTTTTAAAAAGCCTCGGAAACCCTTTATAGGGTTGCGACAAATTAGAACTGACTTAGTAGAGCACTTAGCAACAACAACAACGTAAAGATTAATGGATATACTAGATTAATAACCTAATTTTTACAAATACGTAATATGCTTCGTCTCTGAAAAGCTTATGACCACAAAATACAGGCATTTACTGATGAAATTTTGTTTTTTTACCTTGAATTTCTGTTCTCAGAGATATACTAATAATTTTTATGATGTTCATCAGGTGCTATTTTACTTCTGAAGTATAAGCTGTTTGAATATATTTGTTATGAAAATGCATGCTACAGGAAACCCCAAATTACAATGGATCGTATTTCAAAAATTGGTTTATGGCTGCCGGGAGACCAGAATTCCTTTTCTCAGAAAAGGAGTTATTCAGTAGTGATTATTAATTTAAGTCAGACTCTTTGTAATATTAAGGAGTGCTGGGGGCGCTATGGGCTAAGCATTAGGCTACTAGCCAAAAGATTGATGGTTCAAACCTACCAGCCACTCCTTGGGAGAAAGATGAGGCTTTCTGCTTCCTTAAAGATTTAAAGTCTTGGAAATTCTACATGAGGTTGCTGTGAGTCGGAATCGACTTGATGGCAGTGGGTTTGTTGTTGGTAAGTACCGTAGAGTCGAATTCAACTCATAGTGACCCTGCACAGGGTTTCTGATGCTATAAATCTTTACTAGAGCAGAAAGCTTCATCTTTTTCTCATGGAACAGCTGGTAGTTTAGAACTGCCGACCTTGAGATTTATGTAGTGCTTAATGTGTCTGAGGCATTCTGGTGTGTTCAGAAATCCTATATAGGGGTTGCTGTGAGTTGGGAATCAGCTAGATGGCAGTGAGTTTATGTAATGTTTTAATGTGTCTGAGTAATCCTGGTATGGCGCTGTGGGATAATGCACTAGACCTCAATGTCGATATGAACCGTAGAGTTTGTGGTTCAAGCTCACCATCTGCTCCTTGGAAACCCTATATAGGGTCACTTTGAGTCAGAACTGACTCGACGACACTTAACAACAGCAATGTGTTTGAGGAGTCCTGGTGTGGCTCTGTAGGATAAGCACTGAACTGCTAACTGAAACGCCAGCATTTCAAACTCACTAGCTGCTCCTTGGAGAACCCTATACAGGGTTGTTACAGCACTTAACAGCATCGTGTCCAACGTACTCTGCTGCTATTATGATTACCTAAATATGTGATAGCGCTTTATGGAAAGCATGGGCTGAGTTCTCAGGGACTCTTACTCTGTGGCTTTCCCTGTAGCTGTCTGTTGCTGACCAGCCTCACTGTCTACCTTTAGCCTCTTAAACCTGAGTCTTAGCCTCTCCTTGTCTTTCTGTGTTTAAGACAAACATATGACCTTTTAAAGAGATTTATTTTTAAAATTAGACTTCTTTTTCTAGTGAAAGTGAACAGTTGACAGATAAAAATATCTTATTGTTTGTCTCCCTCTTCTGCTTCTACACCTTGTTGCCTGGTTTTTTTGTTTTGTTTTGTTTTTGAATAAATCCTTAAATATAAATTTGTAAGTTGTCCATGGCAACATATGGGATACGTACAAGATTAGAGTAGGATCAGTCGTTATTTGAAAATGAATCATAATTTTAGGTCATCATCAAGTCTATAAAATCAGAGGGAGGGAACAAGGGAGAGAGGAGGGGCAGACAGCTGAGCTGTTAAGGGGATACTGCCCTAAGGCCAATTCTGGATGTGGAGAAGGAAGGACAGTGATAATCACTCCTCATGGCTCCTCTGCCCTGTGACTTCACCAGTTCTGAAATGTCAGCTGAACCAGCACGCAATCACGTAGCGTGTTTGCCATTCAGCCATAGGAACTGTGCATGTTTAAAAAAAGTTTCACAAAGGATGCATGGTTTTTATCTCCCTTTCCTCTGAGGTTTTGGCTCCTCAGCATCTAAACTGTTCTTAGGAATGGAAAAGTAGATGGAGGTATTTCTGTACCTCTTGGTACGAAGGAACAATGAAGATGGCCTCAGAATCAAAACTGTCAATGGAAGAGCTGGCAGGTGCTTGACAGCACCATTTTGTGAACTCACAGAAAGAGCTGTTCGATGATCTCTCTTATACAGTTAACTTGAATTAATGACCCTGGAGAGAGGCTCCTGGTGCCGGTTTCCTGAGATATCCTCATTTGTCAGCTGTTCCTGGCACTTTTCACACCTATGGGGCTAGCCGCTGTGTGAAACATAGTCATTCCTGTCACAAACACCGATCCGTAAAGAAATAATTTTATGAACTCTTGTGTATAGTAGAATATCCTTTTATAGTGTTTGATTTTGCCTGGAAACCCCCTTTGGGTGTACCTCTAAGCCTACGCATTGTTAAAGGAGGTTTCCCTAAGTATAGTCCTGGAGAAGTTGGTCAGAGCCCCTCATGTGGGCAGTGTAAGTTCTCCCACAGCTGTGTGGTCCGTGTAGATCCTAGCACATGTGCAGTCAGATATGCCAAGTGTTGCGTTGGCATGTACACAATAGATGGATGTTGGTGGTGGTTGTGTGCCATGGAGTCAGTTCTGACTCATAGAGACCCTTTGTAGGGTTTCTGAGGAGCAGCTGGTGGATTTGAACTGCCATCCCTCTGGTTCACAGTCATACAGCACCACACCAGATGCACACTACACTTCCTTAAGATGGTTGATAACACAGGTTTGAATATCTGCTTAACTGATAAAAGATAAGAATGTGGATGGTTTTTAGGGATGGAAGAGATTTTACCTGATAAGCAGACTGATTTTTGGTGATTAAAGTTTATGGGCATGTATTTCTTGGTTAACTTTGTGATTTTTCCTTGACTAGGCTTGTCCTCCTGTCAGTATGGATGTCTGTGCTTTGAGAATACAGCTTTTCATAGGCTTGAAAGCCATATGTCACTTTAAAAACCACATCATACTTTTGACCAAGGCAGACCCTGAGACCATCCAAGAAAGAAGAGAGTCACCCAAGAGGCTTCTGTAAGCACCCCTTCATCCCAAGACATGTCTGCTGCCATTTCTGGAATAAATTGTTACTGGTATTTTTGTGTGTGCATTAAAAAAAAAAAAAATTAAAACCTAAGATGATCAGATCACCTAACCATGACGAACCTTTTTTGAGAGAAAGACAAAGAAGATTTAAGATTCTAGTTAAGACTTCATAATTGACCTTGGAAGTTTTAGAAGAAAATGAATTATTAAATAGTTTCAGGAAAATAATATGTGATATTTTAATGGAAAAGCGAAAGGACTTTTCTTTCTAATTAATAAGAAAGAACCTCTGTCACTATTCCATTAACAAGGCCCTCCTTTATTTCTTGGCCTTTTCAATGATTGTGTTTTTAATATAGAGATTATTTTCTGGTATTTTAAAAGTAACTGACAATGCATTTCTAAACTGAAAGTACATTCATTATCTATGGAAATGTGTTGGCCTTCTGCCTTTGGATTGTTTAAAATAGAATGCTTAATTCCAAACTAGTTATGCTTCTTTTTGACATTTCCTACACTATGAATTTAAGGAATCTTGGTGGTGGCAGTGTTGTTAAGTGCCATCAAGTCTGTTCCGACACATAGCAACCCTGTGTTAACTTTTCCAAGGAGTGGCTGGTGAATTTGAACCACCTTCCTTGTGGTTCAAACCAACCATGAGGTCCAGTGCTTTATCCCACAGTGCCACACCAGAACTCCAAGCATAGTAGATTATGAGTTGGGCAGCTAACTTGTAAGTTCAACAGTTCTAATCTACCAGTCACTCCTCGGGAGAACGATGAAGCTTTCTGCTCCTGTAAGAATTTACAAGCTCAGAAACTGTATACAAGGTCACTGTGAGTTGGAACCAACTTGAGGGCACACCATCACCAACCACCACCACATTGTGAACTTTGTGGTAGAGAGTGCAATCTGCTATGAGCATTTCTCTAAGGAAAATTTAAGCAAGAAAGAGATCTGGAGGGAAAGAAGCATATCATGCATTTCAAGTCAGATGTAGGTTTTTATTTTTAACATAGGCTTTTTCTTTCTTTATTTATTTTATATTTTTAAATTGCTTGTGCATGTTCCACCAACACGGATAATCAGGTTGACTTGGTAACTGATCACCCAGAGTAGTCGAAGACTGAACTGATTCACTTAACTTTCTGGGGAAAGGAAAAGCAATTTGCCATCTTGCACATTTGATATTTCAAAAGTATAGGATTATTGTTTTAGATGATTTAGAATTGAAAATTAATTTGGTCAGAGCCTTAATTTGAAAAAGATTCTGTACTACAAAAAAATATAATACATAGCGAAAGCAAGAAATAAGATGGCACTTTAAGCAGAGTTACAGTTACATGTGTCGTATGCATTTTTTCAGCAGCCAACAGCAGTTTTGCATGTTTCTGTGTCGGAACTTTTGTTTAAATTTGTGGCATAAAGCACACTGGGCTCATAAAAACCACATGCAGGAGAGCTGGGACCTAGAGACTTTCACAACGAAGTCTGTCTTCCTTTTGAGGGTCCTGGCTGCTCTTTTGACTTTCCATTTACAACTGGTGGAAGGAATTGGATGTGATTGGTTTATCAATACATAAGAGAATACTAAATATTCTAGGCCTGTGTAGTATTGTGAACTAACAGTCTATTAAAAAATGACAATGTTTTGTGTAAATGGTTTCATACTTATTATTGGAGGGTATCCAATAGTTGCCATTTAAAATTGCCATTTATTAAGAATATGCTTTATTTAAAAAATCCTTGTCCTCTGTTTTATGTTTAGTTCTAGAAAAGATGCCAATGTTAATCTCAAAACACCTCCTGTGGCTGAAGCTGGGTGGAATTTATATATTGTGAATACAGTATCACCAGTGCTGCTCTACAAAGAAATGGTATTCTTTTCAAACTTCTGATATTTATTTATGGAAATTCAAGTGGAACAGAAATCAATTTCTAATTAATCACACATTCAGAATGCCACAGCTTACAGGCGCTTTCTGAAAGTGGAGAGTGTATTTTTCTCCACCTTACTGTTTTCACAGCTCCTGGCATTTGAAGAGCCTGTAAAAATTCCTTTCACTAGAAGAAGACTCTCTTATTCATACCCACCTAAAAGAATCTATTGCTGATCTAAATATAAGTAGTCTTTGACCTTTTAACCCTAAACAGGAGAATCATGAAGGAAATCTTGGATCATTTGGATCTTCTATCCTCACTCTCTCTTTTCTCTGAAGTATCATCAGATGTCCCAGGGCATGGCAACAGCAGCAGCATTGTCCTGTATGCAGGGGCAAAGAGTGGGCATCCTTACTCCTTTTCTTAGTGACACAGCTGCCCAATCTCAATTCTTTTAGCTCTTTCTTTCAAACTTACAGAAAAATTACAAGGATGTCAAAAGTACAAAGAATACCTGTATATTCCCCAAACTGATTCATCCATTGTTGTTATTGTTAAGTGCCATCAAGTCAGTTCCAACTCATAGTGAACTTTTATAAGGTTTCCCAGGAGCGGATGGTGGGTTGGAACTGCCTACCTTGAAGTTAGCAGTCCAGTGCTTATTTTGTAGCACCACACCAGGACTCAACACATAGTTAACATTTTACCTCATTTGCTCCATCCTTTTTCACTCTCGCTATAACCTAACACTCTTTCTTTTTACACACACACACACACACACACACACGCATGCATGCATGCACGCACGTGCGCGCGCGCGATCCATTGGAAGATAATTACATACATCATGGCCTTTTTTTCCCTAAATTCTTCAGTATATATTTCCTAAGATGTGGAATATTCTCTTGCATAACTTTGATACATAAACTTTAATAAAATTAAAATCAACACAATACTTTATTTAATAATCAAGGGTTCAGAACCCAGTCTGTTTTCACTTTGTCCTAACCATGTCCTAATAGCATTTCCCCTTTCTAGTCAGGAAACTTTAAGGGAGGTATGGTAAGTCTGAATATGAGAAAGATTTGACTCGTGGATCTACTTTGTTTTTTAAGTTAGTTATTTCAAATATGAACATTTTCAAATCGTGATAAATTAGTGCTATGTTAATGTTGTTATGTGTGGTCAAGACGATTCCAGCCCATATTGATCTGATGTATAACAGAACGAAACACCGCCCGGTTTTGTGCCATCCTCACCATTGTTTTTATGCTTGAGCCCATTGCTGCTGCCACTGTGCTAATCCATCTTCTTGGGGGTCTCCCTCTTTTGTGCTGACCCCTTCACTTTACCATGCACTATGTCCTTCTCCAGGGACTGGTCCTTCCTGATAATATGTCC